CTCTACTTTTCCTCCAGGTTCCAGGCTTCCCCTTCTCTCTCCGTCTCTCTTTCTCTTTTCCTCCCAAATCCAAGAGGAGCTCCAGGCCCCGTGTGCATGGTTTACCTCTGCAGCTCCCATCCTGCCCTAGCTTGAGCACTTTTTGCTGCTCCTCAAAGTATAAATGCAGCGCCGGTAATACAGCCCCCGCTCATCAGCAGGAGATGAAGGGCACGGGGTGGGGGCTGCGTCTTAGAGCTTCAGCATGATCAGTGCAGCTGCAGGACGTTTCAGGGCTGCCAGGTTCCTCCCGCATGCGCTGCGCTCAGGTGCCTGGCCTGGCATCGGTGCTGAGCCCGGTCCTCTTCTGCTCAGATGCGCACGAGGCTTCTCCTCATCAGTGAGGCTGCCTTGACGTTCCGTGCGGGTCAGACAGCCTACGGCCTGTGCTCAGATGGACCAGGCCTGTTCTCTGTGAGAAGAAGCTTCTCCGAGGAAAGGAGCAGGTGCAGGCAGACCCAGTCGGAGAAGGACGTGGGCAAACAAGCCCGTCCCACCTCGGTGCTCTCTCCCTGTCTGGATTCTGCCAGGATGTGGCAGGGGCCAGGCCGGGGCTGTCTGTGGGGGCCACACGCAGGAGGGGAGAGCCATGCAGAGAAATGCGGAAGGCTGATGGCCACAGGCTGGAGAGCTGGAGTGTGGAGGTAAGGGAGGGAGGGCGGTCACAGAGGCGGGAGGACAGGAGGCTCCGAGCTGAGAGATGTTTGGAGTCTGCGGAGTTCCAGGACTCTGTCCAGACGCCTTATGTGTGCAGAGGTCGTGCCTCTGGTCTTTGCATATGTGTCAGGAGGAGAGGGTGCTCAGGGAGGGTGTCCAGGCATCTCAAGAACTTCAGCGTTGGGCGGGGCCCCTTCGCCTCTCTGCCCGACCTGCCTCGTGCTGGCCTGTGACCATCTCCCCAGTGACAAGAGGCCACGTCTAGCGACACTTACCTGGATTAGTTGGGAAGGGTTGAGTTGGAACCAGTCACTCCCAGCTTATCATGTAGTTGACTCCTTTCCTGAGGGGGATGAAATACCATGAAATACGTGTGTTTTAGGAGTCATTTTAGGAGCCATTTTGGAGAACTGTATTAGGACTGAATTTCCCACCCACTCCTCTACCGACCCCACCAACCAGAGCATCCGCCCTGCAGGAGAGAACGGTTATGCTCATGTTCACTCTTTTTTTATACCTGGGAGAACCGTCTCTGTGTTGTGGTGGAGACTCGACAAATGAGACCGATAGATGGGGCGGCTATGAGGAGGTGGCAGGTGTTGGCTGCCAAGTCACCTTTGTGATTCATCTCTGCAGAAGCCATGTTCATTCCCCAGCGACTCTGCAAGACTGATATCCAGCAGTGACAGTTTGAACATCTAATCGTGACCTTGGATGTACCCAAAACCAGGGCGGAAGCACTGCCAGCTTTTCCGTGTAGTATATCACAGGGGCCGCATAACCGAGCTGAAATTGGCCGTGTTCAGAGCGTTAGTGCTTCTGCAAATGAACATCCTTGGCCCCCTAAGTGTGATGCACTGTGGTGAGACGGCTTCCGTTTCAGTCAATTTCCGATAATTAGATGCTCGCAGGGAAACCCAGGACAGTCCTCTCGTGTCTATCCGGAGGCTGTGAGGTGCCCCCATAGTGGACATCAGAAACAATTACTCAGGTAGTCTAGAGGTCGCTGATCAGCAACTCCTGCCCCAGCGCCACTCACCTGGTCTCTGGTCAGATTGCAGCTGCTGGAGGGAGAAACAGCCGGGACTTTGCTGCTGGCTTCCCAGAGCAGACTGGCTGCAAAAATGTGTGCTCCTGTATGATAGCGGAAGTGTTTCAAACGAGAGTCATTCCTAGAGCCCACGCGCTCTGCTGCTGGGACGTTTCTGGTGACACTTACTGTAGATAATTACTTATATTAGTGCTTCTCGAAATGCGGTCCCCAGACCAGGCAGTGGCCCAGCAATCTGTATTTTATCAGGGCTCACCGGTGGTTCTGGTGCACGTGGAATTTAAATGCTGTCGGGTCTTTTGGGAGGCGCTGGACGAGGACATCCAGGAACACTGGCTTTGCGAAAAAACAGACAAACGGAAGCAACTGAGATTGAATCGTGGTTCTGCCACTTAATGTATCAGCGTGACCTTAGGTCATTTGGGTATTTCTTAGACCAATGAACCTCATCTGTGAGTTGACAATAGTAAACGAAACCAACCTAGCGCCCAAGATGATAAAATATCTCTTATAATCGACTAGCACGGGACCTAGCATATAGTAATAGTGTTCAATAAACACGGACCAGGAGTGTGAATTTCGCCAATTCCTCCACTTGGATCCAAGCAAAATTCAGAGCAGAACTGCTCTGTGTTATCGAAATTCAGAGCAGAACTGCTCTGAATTTCGATAACACAAATGACATCCCAGGTACACTGCTAGCAAAGCAGGTGGTGCGATGTGTCGTTCTTAAGGGATTTCAAACCACTGTGGTTTGAATCCACATGTCAGTGAGTTTGTGTGAGAGGAAGAGCGTCAGGTCTGCAAGGGAGGCGGGTTGTTAGAGGAGGCGGGGCACCAGGGGAGGCGGGGTGTCAGAGGAGGCGGGGCATCAGAGGAGGCGGGGCACCAGAGGAGGTGGGTCATCTCAGGAGGCGGGGCATCTCAGGAGGCAGGGCATCAGGGGAGGCACAGTACAGGGAATGGAGTGCTTCCTCCATTTGCTGTACTTCCCTACCTTTTAGTCACTCTCCAGCATATTCAGGATGTGGTCATCACAGCCATCAGAAAGGCTTGGAGTTCACTCTAGACCAGCCCAGACTGCATGTGCAGCCTGGTTACCTGGAGATCTTATTAGAGTGCATGTTCCAATGCATGACGTATGAGGTCAGGCCTGAGCTGCTGGGTTTCACATAAGCTCCTAAGCGATGCTGACTTGCTGGTTTTCCAATCGCACTTTCACGTAAAGTAGTGTTTCTCCAACCCCAGTGTGTGTGTACCGCTCACCTCTAGATTCCCTCTAGATCCTAAGGAATGGTCTGGGGGGCCATCATCATTGACATCTCCTGGGAGCTTACTAAGAATGCAGACTCTCGGGCCGCACTCCAGACCTACCAAACCAGAATGTGCATTTCAGATAGATGTATAAGCATGGCCACAGTGTCTGTTCACAGGGGACCCTGCACTTGTTAAATGATCTGCTCTCACCATCTTGAAATTCATCATAATTCTTAAACAAAGGGCTCTGTGTTTGCATTTTTCACTGAAACCCCCAAACTGTGTAGCTGGTCCTGGGTACGTTGCTCTGTGCCAGCGTTGCTCTAACTTTGGTGTGTATCTGACCCAACTGGGATAGCTAGAAATGCACATTTTGCAGTTTTCAAGGCTCCTGAGTCAGTAGGACAAGAAAATCTGTAACAAACACCTCATGTGATTTTGATGCCTGGGGTCCCTGCCCGCTCGGAGAAATGCTCCCCAGACCATTTCCTCGTTAGGTCCCTCCTCATTTCTATCTTGTGTTGTCCAGAAAACGCAATCAATGGCGCAAAACGAGCTGGACACGGAGCAGAGGGGTTCTGGTTGAGCAGTTTTCCCCACAGGGGCTCTCAGCAGGCCTTCCCACCTGCGCCTGAGTGGCCCAGCAGTGATCCTGTGACATTTACACAAGTACAATCGGAAAGGATGCAGGCTCGGGAGATCTCATCTCGAGAGGGACCGCCTGGAGAGGCTGGCGGTTCTCGGGCCTTTTATGGTCACAGACAATTCTGAGAATTCAGCGGAAGCAACCGTCCCTCCCCACTGAAACATTCAGCCTTGCACATTCTGAGGGGCACCCAGGACTGGGAATTGGAACCTGGCTGAGAGGTCTGACCCCATCACTCCCTAGCTCTCCATCCTGGGGCAGGTCACCCTGGAGGCCTGGTCTCAAAGTAAGACCAGCTACCTCACCAATTTGCTGCGAGAATCAGACGAGACAGCGTGGATGCGAAAGTGCCTGCACCCTGCCGAAGGGCGGCACTGTGGTACCTGCCCTGCTGCGTTGCTACTTCCGGTATTGTGGTCAGGAGGAGGACACTGTGTTTGTGAATTTAGCCTGAGGCCACAGAACATACTTGGTGTAGCTGGAGGAGGGCATGAATGCAGACAGAGCTGACGAGGACTTGGCGAGAGGAGCTGGGAAATTTGAAAGCATAGGGAAAGAGAAGGGAGCTTCCACAATCTGGGGACTCCAGATGCAAAAAGAAAAGAAGGAAAATCTATTTTTACACGCGCAAATGGTTTTGAGATTTTGGAAAATGCCTTTAGTCTAGCAGCAACTGAGCGTTTCTGCCCCTGGGTATAGGGAAGAGAAATGGCACTGTGGCGGTCCATATTTGGTTTTTGACTTAACAAGCCTTCTGTTGGAATTCGCTATTCTGAGATGAGAAGAATAATGTTTAGTAGTTAAAATCTGGGCTTCTGATCTAGCACATAATATCTGGGTGACTTGGGAGAACCATTCAGTTTCTCTGTTCTTCAGTTCTTTTTACCAACAGAGCCTTCCCCATAGGGTTGTCGTAAGCACCGGGGAAGTGAGCAGACCCAGAGCACCTCGAAAGTGGTGTGGTTGTCATTGCCCGCATCATGGAAATCCCTGAGCAAGGGCAGGGCTGGTGGTGCCCCAGTGGCCCAGCCATTCTGGGGATGGTAGATGCCTGTAGGATGTACCTGGTGGACAGTTAGCACCGTCGAAGTGGTCCTGTGCTCAGGGGGTTTCAGAAGCACCGAGTCACTCAGGACCCGGAAGTCTGAGATACGTCCTGACCTCAGATGCTGGGTCCCAGGAGGAGCCGGCCTGGACAGGTCAACAGCAAGTGCATGCGTGCACACTGCGGGGCGGGGGGTGCGGACGAGGCGCGGGAGCCAGTCGTCCCAGCCGTGCCGAGAAGACCGCACCCTGCTGGCCCCCATTTCCTTGCCGCCCCTTGGCTTACCTGTCTGGTCCTCCTTTCAGGTGCTCCATTGACAACCGGGTCACCCGGGTGGCCTGGCTGAACCGCAGCACGATCCTCTACGCCGGGAACGACAAGTGGTGCCTGGACCCACGCGTGGTCCTCCTGAGCAACACCCAGACTCAGTACAGCATCGAGATCCAGAACGTGGACGTGTACGACGAGGGCCCGTACACCTGCTCCGTGCAGACGGACAACCACCCCAAGACCTCCCGGGTCCACCTCATCGTGCAAGGTAGGCGGGCCGTCGGCACTCTGGCTGCGGGCGCCTGACATGCCTGTTCTGTCCGGGTGGGACCGCTTCCGTGTGCTCGCTGTGCCTTTGGACGCTGACATCTCAAATCGCTTTCCCATTGAGTGGGACTAGATTTTTTTTTTTGCTTTCGTTCCAATAATATATTTGCTCAGAAAATTATCTTCTAATTATTGCTTTCCTTGGCTTTCTTCTCCTCTTAGGGTTTTTTTTTAGGTTCTATCCAGATCTAAGCCTGCTTTATTTTAAGACCAGCGTTTTAGCTCTGCGGGCACTATGCAGACACCATGCCCTCGCGCAGCCTTCAGAGCGAGCGGCACCAACCGCAGGTGCTCGGAACCCCTACCTGTTGTACCTTGATCCCAGCCACCTCCGTTCTTCTCGGCTCGCTCACGAGTCCTCCGTCTCCCAGCCCTGGGTCTCTAAGACCAACCCTTCTCCCCCGGGTCTGCTTCTCCAAGGTCTGGCTGCACCCCCTCCCCGCCCTCCTCCCGGGTCTCCCACTCCCAGCTTTTGAGGCCTGTGCGTCTGCTGTGTTTTTGCGTCTCTGGCTTCTGCTGTCTCCGGGTTCCCAGGAGCTGAGGATGAGGCTCATCTGCTCTCCGTAAGCAGATCAGGTGCTGGGGGTTCCGACAACACGGAACCACGTGGACAGACTCCTAGTCAGGGAGCAAGCGCTCGGAATCAGACTTGCCACTCGGGGGCTGGGGGACCTTGACCGGGCACTAACTGTGCCCCAAGGCTTCCTTCTGTGAAATGGGGTCAGTGCTGTGAGGGTCTGTGCTGAGGATGGTGCTTCGCTGTAACACACTCAGGAGAGGGCCAGGCACAGAGAGGTGCTATTTAAGTATGAGCTGCTGCTTTCAATACTGTTATCTCTAAACATCACTTTCAGTGGACCAGACACTTCATTTTATTACTTCAGATGGTGACGGCCCCAAGCAGTAGAGCGGGGTCCTCTGCTGGTGTTCCTCTCTCCCTCCTTCAGCCCCCCTCCTCCAGCTCAGTGGCAGGTCCAGGGCGAGAAGTCCCTCCCCTGGAGTCTCCTTGCGCCGCCCCTTGTGTCCGGCCCCGAGGAGGAAGGGGTGGAGCTGCTGGAGGGCAGGCGAGAGGAAGAAGGAGCAGGAAGGTGCTCCGGAAGGAAGAACACAGACCGCCCGGAGAATCAAGGGGGGAGCAGGGAGGAGACAGGAGGCAGTGGGGCTTGGGGCCCGGGTGCAGGCTGCGCCGAGGGAGGCAGGTGGGCAGCGAGGAGCAGAGGGCAGGCTGGAAGCAGGGCAGGGGGTGAGGCCGCCGGGGCCTCTGAGCCCCTCGTGCCGCGTGGCAAAGCCTGGTCACGCCCAGTTATTTTTACTTTATGTCCCCTTCCTCTTTCTTTCCGAAAAGAAGTGGTGATGACTTTCTCCTCTTGTTGGTTCCACACAGGAGTGTTTGTCAAACTGCTGGGAACAGACAGCCTTTTTTTTTTTAAAGGAAACGGAATTGCACGGGACGTATTAGAGTGTGTTACGAACGGGAGAACAGGGGTGCTCCCTGAGAGTCTCTCGGTGTGTGAGCCTTTCTGACGTGAAGTACGCTTTTCACTGGGGATACTTGGCCAGAGAAAGTCTAAGGATCGCTGTCCGGCGAGGAAGTTTGACGGGTGCCCCTGTGGCACCATTTCTGCAGCACCAGGGGGCATGAAGCCGTGCCCAACCCCACCCCCGCTCCCCATCACCGCCTTCCCAGGAAGGCACACTTACTGTTGGGAGCAGAATATCTGACAATGACAAAGAGACTGAGGACTCCACGATGTCACAGACACGTGTTTTAGGAAGCAGGACCTTTATGGAATTAGAAAACGGAAGCGTGAAAAACACTGAAACCGCCTTGAAAGCAAGGATCATGGTTTTGTCACTTTTTTTCCTTAAGCCTCCTTCCCCCTCCACACCCGCTCCCGGCCCGAGCACCAGGAGAGTGCCTTGTACAAAGTGTCCATGTAACAGATGCTTATTGAAGCAAATGGCTGGAACTATCGCCCCAAGGCGTCACACGGGCCCAGGGAGGGCAGGCTGTGTCGGTGGGAGTGGGGAGGCGGGGGGCTGGGGACAGGTCTGCATCAATCTCCGCTCATGTCCACCCTAATGAAAGGTGTCTGGTTCCCAGCCAGGTGCTTGCACCTGGGGCTTGGCGAGGCGGCCTCCAAGCTGACGCCCACCTCAAGTATCGGAATCCCATCTTGGGCTAATTTTCTCATACTGATGGGCGTATCGATCTGGAAACAAGCCGGCCTGAAAAAGGCTCTGGTCTTGTCTGCAGATTCGGCCCCAGCTAATCCGTGGTCAATATGCCTGGACTGGGCATTATCGACACTTGAATGAATAGAGGACCGTGGTTTCTCAGAGCCAACCTGTCCCTCCCCTTAAAAGCAATCAGACAAATGAAAGAGAGCCAGGCTCCCCTGGTTCTGTGTTGGAGAGAGGATACATCACCACCCAGGATTAATAAAAGAAATATATTTATCCTGGGATCGTTTATTGTACCGAACGAAAGCCCTAACTCCCCCCACAGAAGCCAGCTGGGTTCTGTTGGAGTTGCGAGTCAGCCCTCTGCAGAGCGGTGTTAGGATGAAAGTCAGACACGGGCACTTTTCACAATGGTATTAGAATCATTAAATATACACACGCACACACACAACAGCAGCACCAGAGAGGAACCACAGTGCTGTCTCTGCCCACCAGTACGTGCGTCTGTATGCACGCGGTCAGCTTCGTGGATGAGTAGACACACACAGAAGGACGCGCTGGTGGCTTCCCAGTATCACGCAAGCTGTTGAGGCCTGGAATTCTGTGCGTCTCCCCCCTTTACTGTCAAATACCCGCAGCCCAGCTGGTTCTCTGTACTGGGTTTTCCCTGCGCTGTGTTCACGTTTAACTCCTGCCCACAGCCCTGCAGCCATCCTCGCATCTGTCTGATTCAAGCACCAGGGCCCTCAGCCCTCTGTGCCTGCCCCCATCCCTGCACAGATCATCCCCAGGAAGCGGCTGGGGCCCCTGGGACCCTGGCCAGGCACTGAGCACATGCAGACGATGCTTTAGTTCCCACCGTGTGGAGAAGATGGACCCGTGTAGCGTTTGGGGACCCAAGTCCCCCTCAGGGCTTCAGCTTCTGGGAGTGTAGCTGCCAGCGAAGTCCCTCCTGGCAGCCCGCCTCCCCAGACTCCTGGGTCCTCTCACCCCCTGGTGCTGACCAGACATTCTCATGGGTTCGGAAACCAAACATGCAGAGACCGGGGGCCCGCTCGTCCGGGAGCCGCACTCCCGGGGGCTCTGGTCCGGGCGCTGCTGTGTCCCCCGCTCGGGCTCAGGCCGAGGGCTGCGGCGTCCTCGGTCCGGGTTCCCAGGGCTTCAGCTGCTTCTGCGCCTTCAGCCCCGCCCGCTCTCAGCGCGGCCTTTCACTGCTGCCAAGTCGTAGATCTGTGCTTGGTCCGCCAGGATATTTTTAAAATCTGCTGAAAACACATCTCCTCATAGTAAAGGAAAAAGAGGAAATGCTCGCTTCCTTTTTTTTTTTTTTTTGTGAGTCCATCTCTCCTTTCCTCACTGTTGCTGCTGGATTGTGTTCTCCCTGTGGTTTTGTTGTTGTTGTTGTTGTTGTAGTTCGTTTGTTTTTTTAAGGAAGATAGCTCTGGGGCTGCCTAAAGCCTCCTAAACCTTTCTCATGCTGGTCGGGGCGGGGTGGTTTCCAAAGGCCCCGGCAGGGCCGGTGCAGTGGTGGAGTGTGGATGGGGGTCAGGCCAGCCCGGGCTGCAGAGAGAGCCCCTGCAGCAGGCAGCAGTGGGGTTGGGGGAGCAGCTATGATGTGGAGCCTGGAGGGCAGCAGGCAGAGGAGTGGGTGCATGTGAGGCCCCAGAGACCGCAGCTGCAGGGCCCGCGATGTAAGACCAGCCTGCAGAAAAAGGTGATGGCGCTTCTGATCTGCACTGTCCGGGGTCAGGGCTGCAGGCAGAGCCCAGGCAGTCCTGTGGGGCGGGGCTCCGAGGCCGGTCAGGAGCCCTGGGCAGCCTTGTGGGGAGAGTGGTCCTGGAGCTCATGTGGGAGGGGGCTGGGGGAAGGCAGCTGGGTGGGAGGGACAGGGAAGCTGCGCTAAGGAGCTATTCACCACAATGGTGACTACTTTAAATTTAAATTAGCCAAAGCCAAATAAAATGTAAAGTTGACACCTTCGGTCACACGAGCCACATTTCAGGTGCGTCAACAGCCACATGTGACCAGTGGCTCCTGTACTGGACGGAGCAGGTAGAAAGCCCCACCATCCCAGAACCTTCTGCTGGGCAGCACGTGCTGAACGAGAATGGGCTTCACTGACTTGAAAGGTGGCTGTGGTGTAGGAAGGAAGGTGGAATTCCGGAGAGACAATGGGAACAGGAAAAGACGGTGCTGTTTTAGACAAGGGAGATTTGTTGAAAGTGATGGAGACCTGGAGCTCCTCTGTCAGCTGGACAGAGACGGAAGTCGGAAGTCTGAAGGAGGGTCCCACGGAGCAGAGACAGAACCTGGGGACGACACGGTGTGGGCGTGGGGGCGGGGCGCCCCCAGGACCTTAGGAGTCTGGCCTGGGAGCCCTGGGGGAGGCTGGCCCTCTCTCATCTCAAGCGCCCGGTGGGGAAGCCTCGTGCAGCAGCAGAGGGGCAGGGGGTGAGATGCTGGGACTCCTTGATTTTAAGATGCCTTGAATTCTCGACTGAAAATGAGTTCGTGAAAAGTAAGGAGTACCACCCACCCCTGGGTTGGCACGCCCACTGAGGCAGCCAGAACGTACTCTCTTAGACCAGAGTGAGGGAGAGCCATCTGTGATTGATTAAAATTTGAGTCCAGCGGTTTCCACCTCTGACCTCGGGGCGCCACGCGTCATGAGTGTAATGAGTAAGACGCTGCTCCTCCAGGCCAGCTGTGCACCCTAACCCTTTTCCTCCCTGGGTGCTGCTGCCAAGCCAAGCTTCT